TAATTACCTTTCTAATCCTTACGTAATCTCAAAAGGGTTAATCTTTCACTAGTTTTGGATGAACAATCGCAAAAAGCACAATAATAACCATGCATTTTATTGATTTCAAGTTAATTCTAATTGTAGATGGAAACGAAATACAATACAAATAAATCCTCTATCAATTAACGTTATACAACACAACTGTCTACCGCCAAAAAACTATTACTCGTTTCTTCTATTTATATTTGGCGGCTCTGACAGCCACTGACAATTGACAACAACACAACCCAATTCGCGCATGCGCACACGAAAACTGTTAACGCAGAAAGCCTTGCTGTCGCTTCTCGTTGATATAGTATTAGTATTCTCTGATATAATCACCTATTGGCCGCCTCGTTGCCATGACAACCGCCGTAAACAACGCTACGAAGAGAAGCAGAATACAGACTGATTTCAATCTGCGTCACTTGCGTATGCGCAAGAAGACGTTCACCGCGCAACTATTCTGTTTAATTCTGCGTATTAAACAAACAAACACAATACATTTTCAATATAGAATTATATCTAAATTATAAAATTAAAAATAATTTTAAATTGCACAACCAAACGGAAATTTTAGGCGAAACGGTGCGTCACTTGCGTCACCTGACGAGCCGCCACTGGGTTAGGGATAGAGTATCTCCTCGTAGTTATCGTATCTATCAATGTATCTATCCATCCCGATCGTAAACAATTTATTTTCTGGTGTTTGCATATTTTTACGTACTTGCGCAAGTTTGTCACATGTGTAATGATCTACTTAACTAAGTCTTTAGTCTGTCATATATTTAAAATTTGATCCTCAGATCAGATTTAATCGTTTATAACTTCTATATAGAAGCTTGAATCGACCCAATATTTTCTGAAAAATTAGTTCAGTATTAGGGGTATCTACCGTGTAAATTTTAGCGTTAAAGAAAAAAGTGAAATTTTTAGGTTTCGATCGAGTTTTAAGGATTTTTTACCACTGTGCTGCGCCTCTGGACTCTTAAGATTTCATTGCATTCGTAATAAAAAATAGTATGTATAATTCATGCGGTTGTCTAATAATGTCTATTGCCCAGTTGAGCTCAGCTCACGCAGGCCCGGTCTGGCTCATTCCGGGGCCGTCGGGAAATATCGAAATCGGGGCCTATTTGAATTTGTCTGTTATTAGGGTGCATATCAATTCTCTCAGGGAAAACTGTCGTATCTTAAATTTGGTTATACTGAGATAATTGCATTTGAATAGTTGAGAAAATTATAATGTTCGTTATTTTTTTATTACAAGAGCTAAATCGTTCTTCTTTAACAAAGTAATTATTGTTTAGGTCTTAATTAATTATTGATGGTCTAAATAAAATAGTTTAGGATAAGAAAAAAATGGATTTTGAATGAGTTACTACAGTTTTCGTGGACAAAATTTTTATTGAGATATAACTTGCTACACTAATAAGGTACCTACAGTAAAATTAAACATTTTCTATTTTTAGATAAAACAAAATTGTTAATAATCAATAATGACATAAAAGGAAAATTTATTACGATTCAGAGTCAGTCATCTTCTTGGTCAATATTACTTTCTTCCTGGTGGTCAGTCTTACTAGCAGGCCGAAGGGAGTTGTAAAATCCATGATACTTCGGTGGTATCAAATTAGCCTTACACAGACCCAAAAAACCGCTTAATTTTTTAACCATAAATTGGCAGCAAACCTTGATATAATCTTGGAAATTGATATTCTTCGCGTTTGCGTGTCTAGTTCTTTATGATTTTTTCCAAAATTATACACAAAAAATACTTTATTGGGAGACTGGATTGCAATGGATTTCTCTGATTTTGCTGATTTTTACAGACTCTCCAGTAATATCTTTTTTCCAGTTTTGTTTCTTTGCCATTGGTTTAAAAGTTACAAAATCTTCTTGATACATTTCTTTTACTTTGTACTGTGGGGCAGTAACTTTAGCCATTTTTATTAGACTAATCCATTGATCAGGACTATCAGGTGTGTATATAGCAGAGTGACGTTTTTTTGCAACTTCAATCACAGCATGCATGCTGTCATTTTATTCTACGTGTGACCAATTTCAAGAAGACGGTGTGTTATTTTCAAGTCTAAAGCCATTGATGCATAAGCAAACATCGCAAAAACAAAACGATTACGGTTTTGATCACCGCAATTGTCGGAATAAAAGAATAACCTTTCGTATGCCATTTTCTTTAACACCTTTTAAAAAGATCCATAAACAACTTTCAATTTCATCCGGTCCTCTCTTCGATATTTGCTCATGCCATACATAGCAATAGCCTTGATTGCTGCCCAAAATCATAAATTGTAAAGTTGTATGTTGCGATTTTACTTTTATAATAAAAATCGCTGACTTGGGCGTTACTAACCTCTTCTGCAAATCAAAGCATGCTGTTATTAGAAATTTATCATTTTTCGAAAATTCTTTATCAATGTCTTTCAGATTTCGAACCGCGATTTTGTTTAAATTATGATTATTACAATCATCTTCCATTTTTCTGTTCTCTTCTCGGGATCTGTATTCTTATAGGCACTACACACGGAACACTGATCTTTTTTTGGCTTAAAGAAAGCTATATTAAATTTCGAAGTAAGAGTATCTCTGTATTGTCTGAGTGTAGCTACTGCATCCCATTTTTGTTGTTTTGCATATTCTAAATACATTCTGTGCATTCGTGAAACTCGAACCTTCTTCCAAGTACATTCGTTTTGAGTTTTTTCTTGTATAATGAGAAGGCATTTGTGGAAAAAGTTTTATGTGTTCCATAATGTTTTTTATTACAGCAACCGGGTTCTTATGCGGTCTAGTGTTGTGTTTTCCTCTTCTGTCCCGTTCTACAGTACCACCTTCGCAAATTTTTTGCAAAGCGGTGCTTACAACTGTTTCAGAAATTGTAAGTGTATTTAAGAACATGGTTTTGCAAATTTGTTTCTCATTATTATTATTGTCAATGACAAACTTATAATTGCGAGAGAAATTCCTTCTGGATTATTTATTATGTACAGTAACTTGCTTTTTTTTCTCGTTGTGTCACGCACCTTACAAGAAAATCCCACTGCCGAGTATGATCTCCAAGGTTCCAAAATTCGTCAAAAATGACTTTTCTAGCTTCTTCATTTATTATTTTGTTGCATTTATACCTGCAAGTTTCTTTACAAGGTGATTTCATCATCTTTGCAAAAATAAGTTTGTCTACGATTTTTATGTAATAAAAATTTTATCAAATTTTAATTTATAAATTGATTCTGTCTCACTTACGCAGCGTGCAACGCGCAAACGCGGCAGGTATGACAGAAGCTATTTACATGTTGTCATCTGGATCGAACTTGCAAGACAAACTCTCCCATCTATTTGCAGCTCAAATTAAAGCTTATTAGTTATTTCAAGCACCATCTTTAAAATATTAAAAATATACTTTTAATATACTTACGCTTGCAGTACCTACTTATTCCGTTTTTAAATAATTTTTTTAACAGAAAAAAAACTCATTGGGATAGGCGACTCTGAATCGTCATTTCTCCGGCTCCAGTACAATCTACGAATATCTATTTGCAGTTCAAATTAAAGCTCATTTCAAGCGCTATGCCGCTATCTGTGGGAATATAGGTACTTACCACTGCAGTACTCATGCCGTTTTCACAGATTTTATTTACGCAAAAGCTCTATAGGCTACGTTCAAACTATTATTAGTTTTAAAATTATATAAAACTATATTAATATAGGTAATAAACTTAAACCTATCGTCCCAGAATACAGGATACAGGAAACCAATAATAGTTTGGACATAGTCCTTTTAAAGCTCTCGGTTATTATTTATATTCTCATTTTTTCTTTCGAGCACATAACTTATACGACTATAGGGTAAAGGGTTACTATAAGGTTAAAAGACTTACAGTTTGAAAAATATTAATTTCTCTCGTTTTCCTCCAAACTCACGACTTATAGATAAAGGAGTTAGTAGTTTAAAGGGCTTACGGTTTTGAATATATATTTATTTCTCCCTTTCTTTCCTGTAGGTACACTGTTTATAGGGGTATAGGGTAAAATAATAAAATTTGTGTTATTTTTTGACCTGGGAAAATCCCATTTCTATAAAAGATTAAATTTTCATTTTTACGTTCTTCTTTTTTCTTTTAATTTAGGGTGGCTATATCTCAATAATTTATAAAAAATTTTCTTATACTTTTGGCGCCTCGTTAGTCGTTTGGGGGCTTATCTCCCAAAATAAGTCGGGTTTTGCCGACTGCCCGACCTGGCCAGACCGGGCCTGAGCTTACGTGGTCAGTAGACAACTTTACCGCACTTATTACCCAAAAACTATTTTATTACTCATGCCGGATGAGTCCTATTTTTTCGCATGTTTTTTACGTCGATAACTAGCTGTTTGCCCACTGTTTTCATTTGCGTGCGGTAATCTTACTTGTCGCACGAAAATTGCCAATAAAACACGCAAAATTTAGATACCTACACACTCGAAAATATTATTTTTTAAAAATGACATTTAAATGACAGTTATTTTTGTCAACTTAAATTTAATAAAAATATGTGGACCCCACCGAGGCTTCGCCCCTGGACTCTAAGATTTCATTGCATTCGTATTAAAAATAGTATGTGCAATTCGTGCGGTTGTCTATTGCCCAATTGAGCGGATGAGCTCACGAACTTATCGCACTTAAAGCACAATATACCTACTAATTATTAAATATTAAAAATCTTTCATGTTATAGGTTGACTTACATTCTTTTCAACACTGTTTTACAGTGGCATTGCAAATAAGGTAAGCAATAGAAAAAATTTGATTAAAAGTAAAATAAAAAAATAATAGGTACATGTACTTACCCATTAGAAAATTATTGCAAGAATTTTTTAAATAACATTGACCAGTATGTTCCGTTGCAGTCACAGAATCTTGCGAAATATCAGTTTAATTTTTTTTTATAAATTATATCAATAACAAGCGTCTTTTTAAATATATTTATTAATAACATATACTGGCAGTGCACAATTCATATCTGAAATATTAAATGAATAAGACAGAATAAAATTAGTTTGAGCTTTGGATTACAGAGGGAAAAACATGCGCCTCTTTTATGCTACAATAATTTATTTGGTATTATTAAATAATATTTGTATAAAAAAATATTATAAAATTACTATAGGGTTTTCACAACTATTTACTGAATTTTTAACCATCTATCTATCGAATACTCCAGAGCTGCTAACCACCTGAAATTAATACAAATTTATTAATCGTAATCTTAACATTTTATAACTTTGTTGTTATTGAAGATATAAAATTGATTAAATTACTAAATACTTATTCTTTTTTTCAGATTCATACAAGATAAACGAAAAAGCTATTGAAAATCTTGGGATCTTTCTAATTGTTATGCTAAGATACAGAGAAGAACGGCATATTAAAGCATATTTTATAAAACCAATGACTACTATGACTATTTCTTATAGAAATATTATGTTTGAACTCATCATGCCTGGCAAGTAATTTTAGGAGGGGTCCGGATACTTTTAAAAATTTTTAAGGAGGTCCAGAAAAAAAATTAATATTTCTTACAAATTTTCATTTGGACTCAAATTTAATCTGCTTACTAACCAATAAGAACTCAAAACATTCACACAATTGTAAAATACTAGAAATAATAAGGTTGGCACTCAAACGTAAAAAAAACATTTTTTAAATAATTTATTTAAGTAATTTATGCTTTCAAAAATTTTTTGGCGGTCTAGTATTTTACCTTCCTGTATTTATTTATACAATGCTTATACGAATGTCACTGGTTTAAGAAATACAGGGTGTTCAAGGTTTAATTTTTTTCTGATATTTCTCAACAATTAAGAATGTGTTGATAGCATGACTGAAAATTTGTAGTGTTGTTTTTTTTTAGTGTGAGAATTACGAATTTTAAGTTTATTTTGACGTTGCTCCTAGAGGGCGCTAGTTTCACCATTTTATTTAGGTAAATATCAAAAAGTATTTTTTTATTTGTCGAGCTATGCTTAAACTAAAAGCTTGTTCAATTCTACATAAAAACTGTACTCTTGTTTAAGCCGCCTAACTTTATCGGTTTCCGAGTTATTTGCATTTAAAAGTTTCAATGTATTTTGTGGTGATTTTTTATTCTCAAAAGATGAAAATAAGAATAACAATTATTATTGATAATAGTAATAATAACAAACCTTAAATCAAATGCTGGAAGTGTCCACGACCTACCTCAATATATTTTACTATACACTCTCTGAGTAGTAAATAAAATGTCCCTTTTATTTTTAAATGCATTCGCGGCTACTTGTGTTTTCTGTCGCAATTCCTCAACAGAATTAATTTCTTCACGATACACCACATCCTTCAAGTTTGACCATACTGAGAAGTCCAGAGGGTTTAAGTCTGGACTTCTCGGTGACCAACTAAATTTATTCTCACGACCAATCCACCGATGAGGAAAATGTATATTTAAATACTGGCGTACAGGCAAGGCAAAATGTGGTGGCACACCGTCGTGCACAAACCACATACTCTCTCTTAAAGCTAGTGGTACATCATCTAGAAGCTCGTTTAAATTATGTTAAATAAAGTTTAAATAATGAGGTCCAATTAGATTAGGTGTTAATTCAAAAGGTCCAATGAAAAAAACAGAAATTAAACCACACCAAATATTCACCTTAAACTGAATGCTGAAAATTTCTTTTACAACATTCGAATTTTCGGAATCCCACAAATGATTGTTCTTCCAATTGAAAACTCCCCATCTAGTAAATCCTCATCGGTAAATAGAACCTTATGGAGGAAATCTGGGTTTTCCGTTTGCACATTTTGTATAAACTGCGCAAATTGTAGGCGAGCTGGTAAATCTTGAGGCAATAACTGTTGAACCGGAGTATAATAGTATGGATCGAGCATTTCTTTTTTCAAAATTCTACAAAAGGAGGATTGGCTTACTCCCGTTGCCGCACTTAACCGACGAGTAATCATACCGGAATTTTCCGAAACACGAATTGAAATTTCTTCTTCTTCTTAATCGACTGTGATATATTTTGGAGTACCATGGTTATACTATTTGGTCGAAAAGATCCAGATTCGCCTAAGCGGTTGTAAAGATTTCTGAATAGTTTATAATTAAGTTGCAATCTATTTGGGTACAATTGTAGCCGCATGTCTATTAAAATTAACTTGAGCAAAAACACAAATCATCTCTCATCTCACGACATTATTATGTCGTGGCTCGTGGCATTTTTTGATCACTAGTTAATAATTTTGCACGAATCACGAAAATCACACGCACGCAAAATACGCTAATATTTATTGATATGGAAATTTGACACAAGCCTACTTAGAAAACAAATAGCAATATCAACGCCTGAAAGAAAATCACCACAAAATACATTGAAACTTTTAAATGCAAATAACTCAGAAGCCGATAAAGTAAGGCGACCTAAACAAGAGTACATTTTTTATGTAGAATTTAACGTTCTTTTAGATTTTTAACTTTTTTAAGCATAGCTCAACAGATAAAAAATATGTTTTGATTTATCTAAAAAATAAACGCGAAACTAGGGTCCTCTAGGAGCAACGTCGAAATAAACTTCAAATTCGTAAATCTCACACTAAAAAACCCAACACTACCAATTTTCAGAGTCATGCTATCAATACTTTTTCAATTATAGAGAAATTCCAGAAAAATATTTAAACGTTGAACACTCAGTATTTTAAAAACCATCGACATTCGTATAAGGCATGATGAGCTCAAACATAATATTTTGGTGTCTAGTATCTCCAGCTTAGTGTTGACCCATTCTTTCTGACTCAACCTTGTATAAAGGTAATCAAATACAGGGTATCTCACGGTGACGGACCATTAGAATTATTTCAGACTACTTCGATTTGAATTTTGAAAATTTGGGATACCGGGTTTTCGGGCATGCCCTTCTCAACTAAAATAATGGCGTCCACGTACCACTTCCGGTTATACCGGAAGTCGCCATCAACTTGCTTATTTTAAATGGAACACCCTATATATTATTGCAATTTTGGATTCTACGTGTTATTTTAGGTGGACTTAGTTTCCCTATTCCTAAAATTCGAGATATTTAATTTATTTAAAAAAAATGGAGAGAAACAATGACTAGCTTCAAACCATATGTATTTTGTAGTAAGAAAGATAAAGAAACAATATTTATAGGGGGGATAGCTAGAGCCCTAAGCTTCCCATCCATACTATCAAAGTGGCTTAATTGCATACAGGGTGCTAGAAATTTAACATCGAGTTAGTTAACTTCAATCCTTCAGAAGTCGTTTTTTTTAAATAGAACACCCTGTATGTTTTTCTATATTCTGATACACAATTTTATTCCCTTTCGAACGGTATCAGGGTTCCCTATACCTATCTCTTCTAGTTTTTAAGTTATCTACTATTTTTTGTGTAATCACCTAAAATCATGTAATTTCTTGCGAGGATAGCTGTGGAATTTTTAGCAAAACCTCAAAACAAACAACTAAACTGTTACCAGTTATTTATTATTATTTATTCACAAACGTTGCAATGGGATTCTAAGCAGAACATTTCAGTTTTTAATGAGACATATTCCAATTGCTCAGTATTATACATGCTGGTAACTTCTATTGAAAATTACACTTTATTATGCATAATTTAATAATCATTAAATGTAATCGATTGACTAATTTGAATTAAATTCTATAACCGTAATAAGAAAGATGTCGATTATATCGAAAATATGTAGAAGCAACAAATGTGTATTTTTAACATCTTCAAATGTCGTTTGATAATTTTCTGCTATACCCCTTTATATTCATAAGAATTTATTTATATTTTTTTAAAATACAATTTCTCAGTTATCTCGAAACTAGTTAGTTCTATCGGAAGTGTATTGTTTTGTTTAGTTTAAAAAGTGATAGATGTTTTCCCTCTACCTATGCCCCTGTGGTAACAATTTTTTTCCGTTATCAGCTTGAAAATCTTACAATTTTATGAAAATTTGATGCTATCGGAAACAAAGGATTTTAGGAAATATGTTATGAACTTTTATTTTTACGACGTATATACCTCTACATAAATTAACCAGCTTATCTATAGCATACCCTGCATTGCATAGATAGATTTTTATAGATTAAATAGTTTTTGTTTAATATTGCATTTACTTATTTAAGCATTTGGGAACTTATATGATAATATTTTCCAATACTCAAAACCTTTAACCAACCTTTTTCTATCTGCTTCAGATTCGGTATGAAAGTAGTAATACTTTTTGTTGGGATCTGGTGGTATGACTTCAAAAGCATGCTTTTTACTTCCAGACACAGACTGTTGTACCCTATATCCATGCAGGCAAGCCACTCCTGAAATAAAAATTCAGTAATTATTATTTATTAAAAATAAGAGAAAAGAACAGCCATTTTTTTTCAGGTAATATTTAAATACTGGAATTAAATAATTAATTAAGAATAATCAAAACAAATACGAGAAAGAAAATGTTATCTATTTTGAGTATACTCCGTTTCCAATTTTGGTAACGGTTACATATTCCGTAACTACCGATTAATAACTAATTGCTGAAACCCTGGTTATTAACGGAACGTGGTTCCTGAAAATATCTGTCGCCGAAACAACCAACGATTACGACTCATTAAAAAAGGCAATTTTAAAGAAAACTAAAAACTAATTTTCATAAGTTTTCTACGATTCGGTCCAATCGGACCTATGTTCATATAATAAATTACAAATATCGAAGTGTCAATCTGAAATAAAAATTTAATTTTTGTTTTGTGACCATAATCGTGACCAGCCATATACAAGCTGTCTTACGGTGACGGCCCATTAGAATATTTCAGAGGCTACTTCGATTTGAATTTTGAAAATTTGGGCCTTGGGGTTTTCGGGGGTTATTCTCTTTAAACAAAATAATGCCATTGTAGTGGCTTTTCCAGGTTATACTACTTGCATATTTTAAATGGAACACCCTGTATATTTTTTCTTTTGTTAAATATTGCAATGTAGTTGGCAAGATAATGTATACATTTTAAAAATATTTTTTTGTACCCAAACCGCTCATTTATCAAAATTTTACAAATGTTATCACCTATCAAATAAAAAATAGCTGTCAGTATTGCCCGAAAGGGGAAAAGTTATTGACGGATATTAATCACCATACATCAATTTTGTAAGAGTTGTAAGTTTTAAAAACATTCTGTATAACACCAAAATTTGTAGATTGTAAGCAAAAGTCCACACTCCAAAAATAATCAAAATCGAATAATACGTATTCGAGTTACATATTAACAATATTCAAAAAATTTTCAGGAACTTTGAGGCCATCTAGCGGACAAACGAAGCGATTTTAGATATAGGTGAATAAGTCTCATTCTGCCTATTTTGAGTCCACGAATCTGTGGTCTTTCGTTGTACACATTATTCTGGGACACCCTGTATACAGGGTGGTCCGAATTTTATGCAGGAAACTTCAAGGACAGATAGATCTCTTTAAAATAATAGGAGTTTGCCTTATAAACATAGGTCTGGAACGGCCTCGTTTTAGAGATACAGGGTGTTGTGGTATTGAAGTTGTTAAAAATAATTGATTTTTTATTTGTATCTCCGGAATCTATCAACCGATCTCAATAAAATTTGGTACAGACAATGTATGATAGTAGGCCTTGCATTCCTTAAAATATGAGCTCTAAAGGTTCAACCAGTGGTGTACAACTGGACAGGGGTCACACCCTTTTTATAAAAAAAACCTACGCCTCTGTATTTTTTGCAAGATATTGTAACGGATTTATGTTCTAATGCACTAAAAAGATGACTTTAATTTTTTTCCTTAAGGTTCACCATATTCAAGTTATTCATACCAATACAATCTCCTTGTGGCAGACACTAAAGCATATTACAAAAATATTTATGCTTAAAAGTAAGTGCAATTTGTAAGCACTTCAACAAAATTATTTCCTCATCACCTGTGAGGTAGTGTTTCTGGTGTGTTTTAGTTTCCCTTGGAGGCCTTATCTTCATAAATAAGAACAATTTAAATAAAAATAATAATAAAAATACATTTACCAAGCAACAATAACTAAACAAGAAACAAAATTAACGTTACATATTTACAGCGATTGTTTAAAATGCGAACCATCCACATCGATGCATTTCTGACATCTGCTATTAATGGAACTAATTGAAGCTAATATCATGTGGTGTTTTTTTTTAATTCATTACACCCGTCTTCTATTCGCTGCAGTAGTTGTGGTCTAGTATATATTGGAGTAGAGTAAACTTTTCAGATAGGTCACCCCAAACATAGAAGTCCAGGGGGTTTAGATCTGGCGATCTGGCTGGCCAAGACACTGGACCTTCTGTACTATTATGGTTGACATTAGCATTTGGTCTTCTGTCAATCACCCCATATAATTTTCATTAAGCCAATCTTGTATTATTCCCCTAAAATGCGCAGGAGCACCATCCATTTGTATCCAGCTATTTTATCGTATATATAATGGAACATCTTCTAATAATTCAAATAGATGGTTTTCTAGAAAGTTTAGAAATGACTGGTAATTTAGATGGGGTGGCAAGAAGAAAGGTCCACAAACTTTATTGCGAATTATTCCGAGCCATACTTTCACAGAAAATTCGCGTTGAAAAGTTCTTGTTCGAATTTCATGAAGATTTTCTTGTGACCAAATACCCAGAGTGTGAAAATTCACTACCCCTCGCCTAGTGAACATCATCGGTCCAAAGAATTTCTAGTAAAGCTCTGCGTCGACTACAGCCGAAACGAATGGAATCGAGGCGCGTCGAATAGAGCAGCAATTTTTGAAAAGTGCGTTCATCGAGACGAATCGAGGAGAGTCGAATCGGTCAGTCAATAGTCGTATGGTTGGTCTAGGTCGTATGTCGTGATGGACAGCTCAGAGGAAGAAATGTTCTTATTTCAAATCCTATTTGATGAAGAGTATAGCAGAACAAAGTGACGAAGGGCAAAATACTGGATACACGATATAAACAAAAAAAGGAATATCTACGGCGAGTTTTACCATTTGTTTCCAGCTCAGGATATTTCTCTACCAGAGATATTATCAGTTTCTCATCATTTCGAAAAAAGTAAAGTAGAAAAAATCAAAGAATACGAAGAAATTATAAAACACGTGTCTATCGCGTAATTTCACGTCTATGCATCATCTCTTTTCTACGTCGACTGAGGTGCGCCGAATCGAGTCGAAACACGTGGCCGCAAAAATTTGCTCAACGAGCAATGCGCCCGGGAAAATCGGCTAGGTGCGTTGCGGCTCTTCAGTGGTCGACGCAGATTCATCTAATTATATGGGAGGCGAATTTTTGCGATTCGATTCGACTCGGCGAGTCTAGTCGACGCTAAGCTTAAGAATTCAGGCGTCTATCTGCATATCCCGGAAGTAAATTTTGCACAGGTTGTAAATGGTACGGATTCCTGCCATCCTTAGGCAGAACTTTTCAAATTTTCTATTTACTCACCCCAAGTTGCTGAGACGTTCTTCGTGTATTTAGCGGAGGATCGTCGTCAAATGCTTTTAAAATTTCATTTCTGTGTCTTTCATTGCTTCGTCGTGATATTGCAAATATTATTTTAATCCAAAAAGATTAAAACGATGAGTGTAAAGAATTTATTGATGTGCTTACAAATTGCACTTACTTTTAAGCATAAACATAAATATTGTTGTAATATTATGGTTAGAATTGTCTACCACAAGATTGTATTGGTATGAATAACTTGAGAACGGTGAAATGTAGGGAAAAAGTTCGAGTTACCTTTTTTATGTATTTTGTGCATTAGAATATAAATCCGTTGCAATAGCTTGTAAAAAATTCAGTGGCGTAGTTTTTTTTAATAAAAAAGGAGGTGACCCTGTTTAGTTGTACACCACTGGTTGAACCTTTAGAGCTCATATTTTAGGAAATACAAGGCCTACTATCATACATAATCTGTACTAAATTTTATTGAAATCGGTCAATGGATTCCAGAGATATAAACAAAAAATCAATTTTTTTTAACAACTTCAACACCCTGTATCTCTAAAATGAAGCCTTTCCATACCTATGTTTATAAGGCAAACCTACTATTTTAAAGAGATCTATCTGCCCTCGAAGTTTCCTGCATAAAATTCGGACCACCCTGCATATATGTATATGCCTACCTATACAGGGTGTTCCTAAATAAGTGTCGCAACGGAAAACTGTAAATTCCTCTTGAAAAAAGAAACAATAGGCTTTTTTTCGCGAGTGAAGTCGTATGTTGTAGTATGTGTAGTATGAGTGAATATTACGTTTTTGCGAGAATAGTCAGTCATTTAAACTACTATTTGACGTCACAAGTTTAGTTCAAATGACTGAACTCTTCACCCTTCAGCTGAATATTCTGTTGGTATATTCAACTAGTATTGTCAGCCGGTAACTTAACCTTTTTCTTTTTGACATTTTGTTTGAATGAGGATAAAAATCGTTCAGCAAAATGATGGATTCTGATACGGCTGTGGAAGTGGTCAGTTTAAATTTAAATTTTAGAGGCACAGATGTTTTAGTAAACGTAGACGTTGAAACAGCAAATATTTTACTTAATGGTAAGATTAATTTTTTATATGGGATATATTTGCGATCCACTTTGCTTCAGGATTATCCTCTTTTTTTTGTGACCTAGGCCAGAGATAATATTGGTGGAATCATTTGTAATTCAGGTCTTTTTCATATGAATTACAAAAAAAAAAACGACCTAACCTCTTTCTAGGTTAAATTTTTTTTATAAAAAATTTAACATACTTTTCACGCTTTTTAAATTTGCCACTTAAAAATATTCCAAAGAAAGCATTGATATATTCCTTCAGTTTTATTCGAAGCAAATACATTATTATTTAGTGAGATAACACCAATTCCCACAACACAAGCAATAAAGGATGACAAATTATGGTTACTGGTTAGAAGTTAGAACCCATATGTCAAAGACGTCAAAATACATATTACAATATGACAGGTTGCACCAGTTGCACCACTGAATAGTGAATATATACATTTTCGCGATCTGTTCAGGTTAGACAAGGTTAGAAAAAAGATGAAAAGAGATAGAAACAGTAACTACAAGTCAGACGTATTCACCAATATTCACTCGCGAAAAAAAGCCTATTTTTTTCCTCTTCCATTTTTCTCACCGGGCTTTCGTTTTCGAGATGCACGGTGTCAAAACTTTAATTTTTTTTTTAGTTTTTCGCCAATATCTTAGGAAACGTTTGAACTACAGGACTGAGCTTTTGTACACACATTACCACTATTAATAGCTACTTTTTCGCACCCTTCTCGAATTCATTTGACGTGCCAGTGGTGGAGATTTTAAGGTATCGTAAGGGTTTCCCCCCCCCCCCCTAAATTTTGATACATTCATCGGTTGTACCTGTTATTTGTACTTTTTTAGGCAATGGTGAAAAGTCTGCTTCGGAATCCATATATGAAAAAAAGGGAAAAATTAAATATAGGCAAATTGGAATAACAAGACTGATAATAGTATTGTACAAATTGATTATTGTATTATATTATTATTATATTATTATTTTATTATTATAATAAAATAATATTGTATTATTATAATTTTTGCCAATACACCTAAACGGAATTTGGCCAGCGACCATGTTTGTGACGTCATAACGTCACTAAGCTACTGAATTTTACAAAGTATCATCCCAAACATTGATCCTGGTTGGATTGACATTTGTATGATACTTTTATTCCTTACAAGTAAAACCTGGCCTCAGAATGGTATATCACTATTTTCGCCTGACGGCCATATTTGTGACGTCGTCACGTAACTATGCTACCGATTTTTACACAGTATCATCCCAAACATTAATCCAGGCTTTATGCTAAAGCTAAATCAAAATTTTTATGATACTTTTACTCCTTATTCCAATGAAACCAGACTTTAGAATGCTAAACTACGACTTTCGTCCGGCGGCCATCTTTGTGAGGTCGTAACTCCATTAAGCTACCGAATTTTACAAAGTATCATCACAAACATTCATGCTGCCTTCATGACGTATCTAAATTAGTAGGTTACATTTACTTCCCAGAAAGGAAACCAAACCGTCCATTTTTGACTACTTGGCTCAACGTCCTCAAAAAAGGCTGCAAAGAAACAAAAACGAATTCGAAAATTAATCATGTTAGCCTTGATTTTGTAGAGGCATAATGTTGGTCTGCTGATTACGCAACTTTGCCTCCATTTAAGCTACTTCGTACCTCTTACCGTTTCCGAGATCCCTGTAGTGAGAAGCGAATTTGTAACAGCCTGTATATCAATTATTGCAACCATTAAAGCTTAGATTACTGTAGTTATAAGGAAGTGTTATATGCTATTTAAAAATGTATTTTTATGACATTAATTTGTTTGATCTAATAGGAAGTGCTCTTTCGAAGATCTAATAAAAAAATGGTAGGAAATTTAGAACAAGCTGTACCTAATAATACGAGTATATACATACTTACCAAAAGCGCTTTTAGCATTGGCATCTTGATAAAAATAAATACAAGCATCTTTAAGAACGCAATATCTTCTATTCCAAGACTTCCATTGCGTTCCCAACTTAATTAAATATCCAAAACAATCAGGTTGACAAATAGCACTAGGCGGTATGGTTAAATTCTTTCTGGCTTCGTTCAAATAATCGTCTATTTTTTGGGAGTCGGCTATAGCCCTGCTTATTACTTCCATCCATCTCTCTTGAGCGGTACTGTTATCAGCAGCCAGGTGCAATGGCACGCCATCTGGTCGTTGAATTACAAAACGATTAGGTTTGGATCCAGCTTCATCTTCCAGTTTCTGTATTTGTTGGTCAAACAGCATAACAACCCCCACAGGCTGTTTGTCCTAAACAGAGAATTGCAAATGAAACAATTTCATGATTCGACTGTAAAATTATTATTATAAAATTTTAATAGAACTTCTTTACATCTTAGCATTTGGCATTTTTTTCAGTTCTTTATACTAAATCTATCTAATCTAAGATGTGAGGCATACGTCTTTTGTTTTCAAACGAGTGCAAGATTCTGGACGACCCTAGCAATTTTTTTGAAAATTGTCTAATCGATAATAAGAATAACTGAATTTAAGTTACAACAAGTCGTATAATTAATAATCCTTAAAAATCTTATTTTAATAGTGTCTGTGGAGTAATATTTACTTTTTCTGTTTATTTAGATATCTTCCTACTACTGCTGACAAATGAATTTAAAAAATAAACTAGAACTAAAATTATGCCATAAATAGATAACTTTGGAAAATAACTACCTACTTTTTGTTTAAGAACTTACGCTATCAGTCTTATAATAGTAAAGGCAATTATTTTGTTTTAAACTAAACCATCTCCTTATCCATTTATTAGTCGTTGTTCCACTCGCATATCCTCCCAGTTTCCATAGATATCCACTGTATAAAGCTCTTGATGTATTATAATTTTCTTTTTGAAGGTTTAAAGCATAACATGTTCTTGCAACCTAAAATAGGTAGGTAAATAATACGAATTGAGTATTTTTTTAAACAACGCGTATAATTTTTAATAATAAATGACTACAAATATTAGTTTCTGCTGTTGACAATAAAGAAACATACTGCAAGCAATTTGCTGGGAGAGTAGCGGAAGGTGCTTGCTTGGCGGGTAGCAAAAACCTGAATGTTTATTGCTGCTCACTAAGTAAGCACCTGACCGCTACTCTCTTTGCTAATCACTTGTATGAACGTAGCTTCAAGTTTCGGCCAGGCTGACATGAGGAAAATCATGGACACTATAGTAATAAAACAATACTTCAAACTTGTACTTTGCAATCTGTAGGTATTTCTCCCACCTTGTAAATGATTTCTGTTGGGTGGTTGTATCGAATTAAATATACATTAGTAAATAAATATACGGGTGTTTATTAAGTAGGTACTTGTACAAACTTTAAAGGGTGACAAAAAGTTCATATGAATATGGGTCCGCTACGGCTTGGTTTTTGAGATACAAGCATCCAAAAAAATTTTTGTTTAGTATTTTGATTATATTTTTGTTCAATAACATGGCAATTTGACGAAATTCGGGAAACTGGAAGTATTGATCATGAGAAACTCAAATATTTATTTAGTGTTTTGTTTAATGTTAGAGTGCGCCACGTACATGTTGTACCTAGATTTAAATAACCATAACTTTTTCGTGTCGCACTGTATGTCATTTTTGACTAAACATACCTATTCTCCTTTCAATTTTACGTACAAAAGTGCTCTTAGTATTTGTCGCTGAAAGCAGCCGTTTTGTAAGAAAACGGGTTTAAAGTTAAACCTGCCTGAAGTTGAATCATTAAGAGTTTTTGAAAAACAATTGAAAAAATCTGTCTTTTACCAATTGTATTGCGATGTCAGAAACTTAGAAAAGACTAAAACTAAATTACTTTCACAAATAAGTTGAATTTACATTTACAAGAATTGCTGAAACACATTTTTTTGGACGCTCTGTATCTCAAGAACCAAGCCGTTGCAGACCCATGTTCATATGAACTTTTTATCTTAAAATTAGTCCTTTAAAGTTTGTACAAGTACTTAATAAACATCCTGTATAAAAATATCAGCAACAAATTTCTTAGCAATGAAGCATGTCGTTCTGATTTCAATTTTTTTTATTTGAGTGATTCTTAACTCTTGATAAATCCATCGTAAGCATTCGAACATGTTAATAGAAAGCGATCAACTTACCCGCTAAGTGATTTGTTGCTAATGTTTCATTTCATTTGTCATTTTAATTTACTTTAAACTTTTAGAAATACTGTTTTGTCGTTATATTGTCTACGATATTTCAGCCGCAAATCTGATGGAAACCTTAGACGTAGAGGAATGGGGCAAAGTTACGTAGCTTAATGTAAATTCTCGGATTCTGGCTTTCTGTGTTTATTTTTAGAGCTACCTACTCAGCGGTTTTTGAGATAGCAGTGCTGTTATTTCCAATTTGAAACATTTTTTATGCTTTAAAAGAAATCCTAAAAAGCAAAAAGGAATCCTGCAGCTGCAACATTGTTATTGTTATGTTTAATGGAAATTCACGAATGGAAGGAATCTGAGTGAAGTGGAATTATTATTATTATTTAATTGAATTAAGTGTTATAGAAAATGATGAATGGAAATATATATTCTATTAAAAGTTTCTGCAAAGCATTATTTTGTTTTTATCTTTCCCATTCCAGTAAATGCAATAACTTCGGTTACTACATCAAAAAGTGACATCTATGCACAAGTACTAGCATACCAAACATCATTTAAATCGGATAAAGCGTTTTACAGTTATTTGGAATTAGATTTTTTGACAAATTTAATGCCATCAAGCAGCTAAACGATGCAACATGATATAGACGTTAGTTACGTTAAAGTATCATATTTTAAGATTCCCTATATGCACTTCTTTCAGTTCATTTACGAATTACCCTGTATATTAAAATTAAGTGTAAAATACTGAATGAGTTATTTTTTGTTTATCTTATTTATTTTTATATAATCAGTGACACTGCACTGTGCATCAGAATTACAATAATACCACGAGGGAGATTGTAATGGTGTTTGAGACTGTTGAGTAAAAAGTTGCATTTAGTTATTGTTTGGAAAAAGATAAAAGATCAACTCACCTCCAATTTTAAAGTATCACTACCTGCATGAGCGATCTTCACTACCTCAGAATGACTTTTGTCAAGTACGCTGACCCCATTTACTGACAAAACAATGTCACCCACTTCGAGACCAGACGTCTCAGCAGGTGTTCCAGGTTCAATGGCCGATACTACTACTGGCTTTGATCCATGAATCCGAAACCCAAATTCTCCCGATTCTCGATGAACTATAACAGTTTTGTCGCACTCTAAATAAAAAAAAATGTAGATAATACTAATCGACACATACAGAGGGTCAGGAAGATCCATTCTACAAATATTTGGATGGTGAATTCTATTTATATGAAAATGCAAGTACATGCACGCGACAAGTAGCTTATATAATTACTATAAAAAATAATTAAATTTGAGTGTGTATATTTTCGAAATTGATGGGTGCTAATGCCAAACTGAGTTTATGTCCGGCAGGTTCGAAAATATGGGACAGAGTTATGGAATCCAGTATCTGGACCATCTTCTCCCTCGAGGTTACATTCGTTAAGGTGGCCATATCCCTGGCCGAGAATTAGTCGAATTTTTGCCGTTTTTAGGTACTGAAATCTTGAAAAGTAAAACGTGTATAACAAAAGTAAGCACAAAAATAAAATCCTTGATGTTCTGTTTATTCATTGTTACTATTTTTTACTCGAATAAAATAATAACTAAAAACATGCGTTTGCTGTTATCCTAACCCCACATTTTAAGAATTATTTTCACGTACTTATAAATAAAAGTAAATTATTATTAAATTATTAATTTTATATTTAGGACTAAGCAAGTAAATGTTATAAGAATATTTACATGTGGAGTTATATATTTAAAAAAGTTAGTATTTTCGTAGATTTCAGTACCTAAAACCTTGATGGTTTGATCATTTTTTGCACCTGTTTATTCGTTTTATTGCGGCGTCTTTGAAAATATTCAGATGGCATGACATAATATTCGTATGATTTGATTATTCAGTTATTAAATGTTTGAAATTATTTGTTTTTGTGAAAAAACAATATTTAAAGAATATGGCGCCCTTAAGCACATTCGCAAATAACCCATTTTTTGAGAATTTGGGGGGACATTTTTTCAAAAATGGTGGGTGCAGGCGTCAAAAGGTGGCGGTACTCTACTTAAAAAGATTATTGAAAATATCGGTTGAAATTTTAACTTAAACTTCATTTTTTAATTATACATCCGTAATATATAATTTAACAACTTTATAATAATTTATTAACAAATATAATATAAAGTCAGTATTCATTTAGAGGATAAATAAGATTTTTGTGCCAGGACTTCACAGGTGTCGTGTCATTCATTCAAACTGCACTGACGAAAAGTAGAGCGGAATTTTTATATTGCAACATTTCTATAATACTATTCCGTGCTTTTACCGTACAACGCTACATAGGGAATTAGCTTCGTTCGAATTCGTAAGTTCGGAAGGGTGGGGAGCGCTGGGTGCTGCAACCTGACTGATGTGAGCATCGATCATAAGATCGATGGATGTGAGATATGATTCCGTACGCCACAGCGCCGCATGGCCTCGCACACAGAGATCGACATCCCCACCGCTGAAGCCGCACGAGTTTGACCGACGCACCTCCTATGTAGTGTTTTCCGTGAAAGCACGGTATATTGCTTTCAAACACAACTTTATTTAATCGATAACACCTATATTACCTAAAGTGTGATGAATATTAATTAAATACTTACCAGATTTAATAATTACTAGTGTATTTATTGAAGTCATTAATTACATGATTAAATTCTAAATATTTAGGACATTATCATTGAATTTGTTTAACCAACAGCAATTTTCTCCATCATATACAAATTATTTCTGAGCATATAACGCATAAACCATATTCTTTTTGAATACAGTGAAATTGAAACGAAGACAGAAAAGAACAATGTTCAGATTGAGAAGAAAAAAGAAAACGTAGAGGGAAAAGTTGGACGCTGTTTAATTTAGTGATTTGTCGTAACGATAAAAAAACTTAAAAACAAGTTGTGATGAGATACATGGTGAAGGGAAAAATGGTAAAATAATTGATTTCGGTGCCTTCCTTATAGAAGCAACGTAACTAGTCGGTTTTAAAATATGCCTCGTGACTGCAGAAAGTTGAAAAAACTAGGTTTTGTCTTCCAAAATTATTTAAAAATTATTTAATTTTCGTTAACGATACCAAGGACTTCATTAAATTTAATCCAACTGTAGAAATAATAAAGTACGTAAGATTATTTTCTAAATTAATACGATTTTATATACTACATAATTATGAAAATTCCAAGAAAATAATTGGCGCATTTATGTTCTGGGCCACTTGTTATCTCTTAATTAAAATGCAAAATTTCACGCCATTTTTTTTTTCGAACTTGTCATGATTAATTTGTGTTTAAAATAATATTCTAGCAAAAAAGTTATATCAACATTTTTGAGAAACGAGAAGTTCTAGGAATATTTTAAATTTTGTGGAGTATTTGGTAAGTGTGTAATGAAAATTAATTTCACCTCACTTTCCAATTTTTCCAATCAAAAGGGCAAAAATCAGCTAAATTCTTGAAAGCCACATAAAGATGCCTGAATTATGGGTTGCTCCTTGAAACCATCCAAATTTTGGAAATTCCAAAATTTGTACGAAAATTCCGAAATTCGGATTGGGAGTGACCAACATCCTGTACATAACTAATTGACTCATTTTAGAAAGAAAGGACCTTTTTGCGATATCGTCACCCAAGATCGTTCTTTTTGAGTACCACTATTTTTCCACGCATTTTACCGGAGACGACGAGAGCGCCCCGCCAAACCATGGCAGATTTGAAGCCATTTACATATGTGGGCGAACATCGACCAGGGGCTTCTGCAATACTTTAAGCAGGCACTTGCGTTAACCGTTGTGTTCAGCTGCAATAACTGGTAATCTTAAACCACCTGTTACATATAGGTTGTTTTCCTTGTATTTTCGGATATAATAAACTATTGAACAGCTTTCATGCTCCTAACCTCCTCAAGCTTCAGTCTAGGTGTAGCGATTCTACGGCTCCATAGCCCCTGAGGGTTTTCATTGGCTTAGTAGCCCCATATACTCGTTCCCAGAGATGCAGTACCCAAGTTAATAAGTCCAGTGTCCACTCAGGGGCCCCCATAATAAATCACAGACATGAAGTGCGTGGCAACCACTGAAACCATTCTAGTGCTTAGCAACCACTACGAATCCATTGAACTCACGAGTCCTCGTACTCCCAATGTGTCAGTTAAAAAAACCCTTCCAGAACATTTTGAACTTTAGGGTTAGTTGACACCCGAACGTTTGAACTTTTAAGAGCAGTGTATCGACGTCTTGGACCCTTATATTAGATCGTTTCCCAATCCTCTTTGGCATGACCTCGTTATCAAAAGATGGAGGGTGAATTCAGGTCTCAGAGCCAGCACCCGGGTCAGAAACTATACCCATAATCCATATTCATGCTCAAGGAGGATCCTGAGCAGTTGCCGTTGGTGCCCCAAAGTCTTACGAGACGAGGTGCGGCTCAACCTAAAGGCTCCTACACACGAGCGTTGTTTTACCGATCGGCTGCCGACCGTCAAACTTGCCGGCAACGATGTTATGTGTTAAGAGCCGTAATGCATTCCCGATAAACCCATACCGGCGACTAACCGGGTTAAGCGACATGGCGCCCAGCATGGGGCTCGAACTACTGAAGTGCAAACAGCCTCAGAAACCCCAAGAACTAGGATGCTATTGTCCCAATCGCAAACTGCAGCTCAGGAATAAGTTGGAATACGACATAAGTTGCTCACTTGGGGGTTAATAAGTTAACTTGGTTGAGGTAACAAAAATTTCTAGTAAAACTTTCTATTTACTGCAAGTGACCTCTTTTCAGAAAAGCACATTTCTTGTGGAATGAAAGCAACTCACTTGGCGCCTAATGCAGACATTTTGTTAAGGTTAATGAATTTTTACTAACCGTAGCAAAAAATTTCTCTCAGAGTTATATTTTTAAAATAAGTAGCAAATATGAACAAAGTAATGCAAAATTACTACAATGATATTAGTTACAAATTCAATTAAAATGTTAGGCAAAAATTGTTTCTTTTACTGCAAACAGGATAAAACTGTTATTAAAACATGTACTGACCAGTTTGTGACGTTGACACAAGATTTAAGGCTTTGTTCTCTTGGCACCAGATAACTAACATTAATTTTAAAATCTCTTCCAATTTATGACGAATGTCAACATAGTCGGTTAAGGCATCGCTGGATCTTCCATCTAATAAAATATGTAATAAGTATTAATCGTTATATATTATCTTATAATTATTTTATAAATGCAAAAGTTGTGTTCTAGGGTTTTGCTGATTAAAAATATGAAATTTCTGGGAAATACAGGATGTACATAACAGTGACGTTTCTTCTTGTAAACACTATACGATGCATCAGTTAAAAATTGCGAATATCCACTTGAATCAGACAACAGTTCGGTATTTTCTGAACAACTTATTTTTTATTCATGTAATTATTTCTATTATTAAGGGAAATAGATACCTATTACATCAAAACGCAGCAGCTTATTGTTGTAAATATTTAAAGTACTACGACGCGACGACACAATAGCAACAATAAAAAATCATTGACAACTTAGGAACTATCAATCTCTACCTGTGTTCTTTGAGGACACTGAAAACATGTTCAGATAAATATAGAATGGCATAAATGATTTACGTCTAATTGGGCATTATACTTTTGAAGCACTATCATAAAAGTAAATAATTTGAAAATCAAAAAAACCATGCCATACTGTACATACATATAGGTAACACATTGTAATAATACAAATGAGCTAAATTCAAAAATGCAAAAATCGAATGCCACTACTAATACAACTACATATTAGAATTTTCCACAAAAAAATTTTCGAGGTTAAGAAGTCTACTTTTTTCCGTTTTTGATCAACTAAATAAAACCGATCATTGAAATTTTCAGTTTTTGATCGATAATTTCATCAAGTTTTGCTCTAATGTGACCGACCATACAGGGTAAGTCGGAAGAATCGTACCAAACTCCAGAAATGGACTCTACACGTCAACGTAATAAGAAGAAACTAACAATAAGATGTTACGTGATTTGCATTTGTTTCCAAGCCATCACGTACATTTAAATCAAACATAATAATTTAGGTATATTCTATTAATCACAACGCTCTTTGATTAATTGTTCGAAAATACCACCATCGACCTCTAAACACTTTCTACTTCGTCTGCAAAGGGCGTTTGTAGTTCTCCTGATTGCTGCATGGTTTTCTTTAATAAATGTTGCAGTATTGATGATACGTGCCTCCCGAGTATTCACTCTAACTTTGTCCACTTCATTCTTGAACCAACTCTATAAACAGTAATCTAGTGGTGTGAAATCTGGAGATCTTGAAGGCCAGCTAATAGGACTACCGCGGTCGATTCACCGCCCTGGAAACCTATCTTTCAAATGTCAGGTCGTCAGACAAGCGTCTGGACGAGCGAAATGTGCAGAAGCTCCATCGTACTGATAGTACATTCACATTCTCATGTTTATAGGAACATTCTCTAGTAATACTTGTAATCCATTTTGTAAAAAAATTAAGTAGAGTCTCCTGTGAGTCGATTTTCCAAAATGAAAGGGCCAATTAACTATCCATCACACCACACCTTTACAGAAACCTGTACTGAAAATTACTTACGACTGTTGCGTGAGGATTTTAGCCTGACCATACATGAAAGTTCCGAATATTATTATAGTTATACCGTCACGGGTTAATGTTACTTTATCCATACAGGATGACGGAGGACATGAGGATGTATGAGGGATACAACAAGATGATTATTTATCATTATATTAGAATAATAGTTGTAGGTGTTTTCGCAACCTTCTTGTGGGTTTGATTAATTACATCATTGTGGAAAACATATTTTTATTTCTTGTTTATTTACATCTGTTTCTAAGAAACTTCCCAAAACTTGATTTCTAGATTATATTATATCAAAATCACAATCATAATAGTATTCATTATAATATCCTTAGATATCCTTCAACAATAACGGCGACATTGCCCGCAACAGGTGTTGTACTCTTTGTACATGGCACGAACATAAGCCTTGTTCGTGGAGAGTTTTTTACTTTTTTTTGTAAAATGCCCAAATGAGTAGTAATTTTTCATGAGCTAGTAGTTGCATAATCTTCTACTGGAGCCCAGAATATTTTCTACTTCTTCTAAACGGAGAATTCGGAATTTCGCACAGTTTGTTGAAAACTCTGATAAATACATTTTTATCAGGACATCTCTGGTGTCGAAACCGTTGACAATATTCTTCAACAGCAGCATTAGCATTCCCATTACAAAAACCATAAACAAACACCATATTGGCATCCTCTAAATTTGAATAAGTTCTTGGCATTTTGTAACACTTTGATCGTACAAACGTGTAGTCAAATGTTAAACTATTGACACAAACAAATATCCTATACTTTTGCACTTGGAACATGACTTAGGTAGGTACCATGATTTAATTTTTTAAATTTGTAATTACGCTATAACGTGAAAGAAAACAAATGAGAATCGGATAACAACTTTTGAGTTTTTTTTTTATTATTTTGACGTGTAGAAGCCATTCCTGGAGTCTCCCGACTCACCCTGTATAAATATTTAGAGATAACCCTATATATATTTTTTTATACATACATGATAGCGATAAAAAATATATATTATATTATGGAAAATATGAATTAACAATTACCTACAAAACGTATTAACGTTTAAAAAGTATTATTTGTAGGTATCCAAATGCTCAGTGAAAAGTAATTAAAAAATAACTATTAAAATTATTGTAAAAACCAAAAATAAAATATTTGTCAACGAAAGCATTAAATGTTCAAAAAAAGAATGCAACTTCCGCTTATTACAATTTAATTTTAGCTTCCACTTGTTCAGCAGTGTATTAAAAAAAGACACAAGTTAAATTCGATTTCAATACATAATACAAATAAATAAATGGAACATTACATTTTGATGACATAGGTATGTATTTCTGCGATGTATTATTAAAACAGTGATTCCACATATTTATTGTTTCGGTGTAAGTTGAACTTATAAAATACCGTTACAAAACAATAAATGCAGTTCTATCATTCATAAATGAATAATTTCTAAGAACCGGATAATTAAATAAGTTGTAGGTTTGCAAACAAACTTGTTCATTTTTAAATGAAGCCGGTGTTGACAGTAATTGGTACGTAATGTTAATAAAAAAATAAACAGAACACTATTAATCGATTAGATTAAACATACCCAAAGCCATGTTGCTTCATTTGAATTTCACTTATAACCTAACAATATCAATTTATTTTTTGTGAGAGGAATTCGAGAAAGTTATTTCAGCACCACGCGGAGTCTGAGAGCTTCGTCTAAAAATAGTTCATTAGTTCAGAAGTATTTTCATAATAATTCAATTACAAGGCGACAAGAAAATCATTTGAGGAATTTAAAAAACCTCTGATTTATAGGGAAACATATTATATATTATACAATTCCTAAAAAAATAAAAAGGGTCTTTGCTGTGATATTGTTTTTTAACATTTGTTCGACTAATTTAAACGCGAAACATTCTATAACATCAATTAAACTATGAATTATTATTGCCTATATCAAAAGCAAGAACTACCTACTTATAACAATTTTTTAAAGACAATGCAATGAAAAAAAATAGTTGAATTTCCTATTATAATATTGATTAAACGGATACTGATTAAACGGACTTACTACTAAATTCGTATTTTTTTACACTTTGTGGATTAAATAGTAGGATGTTGTTAGGATTAAAAGTGTTACTTTTGTGGAATTTTGTATTTGCAGGAAGAAGCATAGAGTAGCCGAGCGGATGCAAAATTGAGACAAAAAAGACACTTTTAATCCTAATAAAACATGCTATTTTTTCTCCAACAGAAATATTCAAACCAAATTTGGATAATAAAGCACAGTAAGTAAGTAGGATATATCGATGGAGTCATTGATACTTTGTCAAACATTAGTCACCATAATGCTAATCGAGTTCATTTGTGATTGTTTGTGGTTCCATTTGCTGAAAACTTTGTAAAAATCGAATCTAATGAAGATTTAGGTATACCTGAGGAGATATTGGAGTGTGCGAAAGAGGTTTCTTTGAATCTTCTCCCAAAGAAATCTCGAGAAATTTTTGAATGTGTCTACCAACGTTTTATGGATTGCTGCAAAGAAAAAATATTAAGCTGTATTCATAAGATGTATTAATGGTGTATTTCTCAAACTAAGCAAATAAAATGAATCCGTCAATGGTTTAGTCACAATATTCAATGTTGCGGTCAACGTTCGATATAAAGAAGGGAACTGATATAAGCAAATTTTCAAAGTTACGTGCTTTTCTCAAAAGACAAAGTGAAGGATATGTACCGAAAACTTAACGAGTATTTACAAAAGAGCAAGTTGATTGCTTTTTGATAGCGCACATGATAATTTATATTTATTTGATGATGAAAGTTTAAGGCTTTAAAAATAACAGAACAAAATTTTTAAAATAGTTTCTTTATAGGTCTTCCTAATATCGAGAGTTGCAGGCGCATGCCGTTCTGATGAATTCGTCAATTTAAAATTGATAATGTTGAAGATGTGAAATTCGCCTTAATTATAAAAATTCCTAATGCCAAAATCAAGAGACCACGTTCTTTTACTGTGATGGGAGATAATTATTTAAGTTTTTTTCGAACGTTTTGTTTTACGTCCACCCGCATTGTTAGAACGTCGATTATTTCTCAGTATTCATAAAATCAGTACCGTCCCGCAAGAAATGGCTTTTTCGATTTTCATTTCTCGATAATGTCTATTACAGGAATCGACTGCTGACATTTTTACGCGAATTTAAAAAAAAGAGAGAATTTTACACTAAAGGAAAATTACATTTTTGAAAGGTAATTATGCTTTTGAGGCCATCGTAAACGTCATAGTCATTTTGATTTATCTCGTCGAGTTACCCCAGATTAAGTACAAAAGGATTTTTGTACGTGGTCCTGAAGTCTAGATAATGAAGATTTTGAAAGTAAGAGTGCTTCTGAACGCGCGAATTCAGTTTTCGGAGCGGCCGAGTAGAGTTACCCCCACTCCGCCTCCCGTTACAGTTAGCTCGCGCCCCGCTCGAATGCTTCGGTTTGCCGCACAATTAAAAATGCAGAAGTGGTTAACATGAACCACAGTATTTTTTTACTGAAAATATAAGTCTTCAACTTCAATCTCTGTAAGAATGGAGGCTGTAGCACTTAAATAGCGGCCTGTGAATTTATTTGAAAAAAAATTATCTCGGCTCCAGAAGGTCGTAGAGCAACGTTTTTTTTTAAATTCGCGTAAAAATGCTAGCAATCGATTCCTGTAATAGACATTATCGAGAAATGAAAATCGAAAAAGATATTCAAGAAAAACGCGACCGAAAAATGTTTACTTTTTTCAAAGTAATTTTTGGACACTTGAAATGAATAAAATCGTTATCACCCTTGTTTACCATGAAACTATAACTTTTAAGGAAAAAAATGAGCCCTCATTCGTTTCTCTACGACTATTCTTCGAGCAAGAGGAGCCGATTTTCGAGATTACCTTTTTTTTCGAAAAATCGAGATAATTCGAAATATTTTTTTATTTTAAGTCATTTTTTTTTGCTTGCTGAGGGCTACATTTACAGCAAGTAACTAGTTTCAAAACATTAAATTTCAAGAGATACAGCAAAAACAGAAAAAGTCGATTTTTGACGGTTTTTTCGATATATCTCGAAAAGTAATATAGCAAATATATTAAAAAATACAAATAGATAGGTTTTTTTAATAGCTACAACTTTCTCATTTAACGCCTGAACCCTGTGTACATGATAGGGATGTAATAATTGTTCCCGTAGTACACGCCACACGGTACTGTTAGATACACCCATTTCTCGGCCAATGTCGTGAGTACTGCGCCTCGGATCTTCCTCAACGAAGTTTCTGATGTTTTCTTCGTCGTCGAAAACATGTTGCGGCCTATCCCATCCACGACCTTCATATGTTAGGTGGACATTCTATCCCGTAATCTTGTTCCACTGGTAGGTTGTCGTCTGTTACGGTAACGGACCGCATACAAACGACAAGTCTTCTCATTTAAATTGTACTGACATTCTCCGTACATTAAACACCATATCTGCTAGTTCTTGATCAGAAAATATGTTATACGCCGACTAATTAATACTGCAACACAAGACTTACTAACCTACCATCAGATTTGCTTTATTGTGGAAGTCACGCAGAACGTCAGCCAATTAGAGAAGCGCTTCACGCATGTAGCGAGTCCGAAACATTCTGGCCGTGCACGTGCACAAGATGCACAGGATCGGCTTACATTTATGATTAATTTTCTTAATTGATTTTCTCAAAAACAAAAGCATTTAGTGCATCATTTGCTTAATAAAAGTTACTCATTTTCGTGCCCTCTATCACCCTCTTCAAGGAACATACTTATTTCAGAAACACCCTGTATACTTAAAAAACATTTTTGATAAACTAGTACTACTTAGATAGTGGCCATGGTTGAAATGATCCTCATCGCACTTCGATCCACAAGTAATATGGTTGTCCTTATTTCACATCACATTTATTAAAAATCTTTGTCATCAATGAATCCTGAACACACTATCTCACTACACAAATACGATTTCCGTTGTTGCCTGTGACTTGGACAGTTAGGCCGGCCGTCCTTTGGATGCGTTTTCGTTTGAATTATTTTCGTCAGAAATCGCGACGAAGTTTCAACCACAATCATCAAATTTTGAATGCTTTTCCAGTTTTTACATCCGACGTATTTGATGTGCCATCTTTTATTCAGGAATTTTCGTATTCGGATGCAAATTCGTAATCAGTGACCCCAAAAATTCGCGGTAACAAATTTCAGGTAAAAATATTGAATAGCAAAATGTGTGACTTACAGGGGTAAGTGGGACCCTGGTCTGTAGCTGGTTTCCAACCCTTTGAGGGACAAGTTATATTGTATTATATTATTTATAAAATACAAGGCTATTGCTTTTAACATTGTTTTGCACTAACATGTGTTATTTCATCTTAAGCGTGGAATTAACCCCCTCGTAGGGGTGGGTGTGGATTTAATTTGTATATATTTCTTTCCAATACTCAAAATATTATTTTAAAATGTTTTCTCAAAGTACCTTATCCTCACTATTTCACCCTATTTTAGGGAATATTTTAGTGTTTTACTAAAAAATTACCTGGTTTTTGGGCTGAGAATTCAGATACAGCTTGAAAAAATACAAATAATCTATGTACTCATGTCTCTGGTACAGAAATGAAACTGAGCAGATTTATCTGACGTGTGGATGGGAAATTATTTGGTTTGCACATATATTAGTATCGTGAGGATGTAATAAATCATAACAATTTTTAACTGTGAAATCTTTGCGATTTATCGTTAAATATGTTATTTATTATACGTTAATCGTTAAAATAAAGACACCCGGTTCGTATGTACTCTTTACTGTAAGAACATCTAAACATTAATACTTTGTAACAGTAAAAAAAACAACTTGACAGTAGTTGTCAAAATTACTTCACTTTTTTTTATCTCAGGTCCAGCGATGACGAAGATTCACGTCCGTTCCAAAATCTACCATCGACCACCTGCACTGCCATCGCTTTTGCAGTATCTGTGCACGCTTTTTTCACATCCTCCCCGGCGGCAGTGACTTCTAAAGGATAAAGAAGTTGAATCGGTCTTCTTAGGAGCGTCCTATTTGGCAACATAACTTCGCATGCTCGTATTTTTCCATCTCTTCCAGGAAATACCTGGGTTATCCTAACCATCTTCCATACTAAACGAGGCATGTTTTGGTCATGCAAAAGAGCTATGTCACCGATTTTAAAAGATGTAGATTTCACGTTAAGATTGGTATGGGCAGATCTCAACTGCTGAAGATAATCGGTGGACCATCTATCCCAAAATTTTCTAACAAGCTTGTTTCGTAGCTTCCACTGTTTAAGGACATCATCTCGCTTTATATCAGGGTTATTAATGTCGATTGAAAACCCACAATTGCGGAAACCTAACAAAAAATGTGATGGAGTCAATATCATTAAATCACTAGGATCGTCATGAACATAAGTTAGAGGTCGTTGATTTATTGTAGCCTCTATTTCAGCTAGATTAGTTTGAAGTTCATCGTAGTTTACAGAGGTTTTACCCAGGGTCAATTTAAGGGCATCTTTTACACTTTTGACAAGTCTCTCCCAAAAACCACCCCACCATGCAGCACGTTCCACTATGAATCTCCATTCTATTCGTTTTCGAGCAGCCATCTGTTGCACTTCGTGCTCACACAAGATCTTTGAGAGTTCTTTGATTTCCATTGCAGTTCTCTTGAACGTCTTTGCATTGTCTGAATATATTATTTCAGGCACGCCTCTTCTAGATATAAATCGACGCAGCGCCCTAATGCAACTTTCCGTAGTTAAGTCAGGAACAAGTTCTAAATGTACAGCTCGCACCACTGCGCAAGTGAGTAGCATTATATAAACCTTAGTATTTCCAGTTTCTGACTTTACAAACAAAGGTCCGGCGAAATCTATGCCTATTACGTTAAATGGTGATACGGTGTTTAATCTACTTCTTGGGATTGGAGCAAAATGTTCATTTGCATGTTTACTTCTCAGTTTTCTGCACTTTAAGCATGAATACAGCACTGTCTTCACCCGCTGTCTAACCTGTATTATCCAATACTTTTCTCGCAAGTGCGTCAAGGTGGAATTAACTCCTCCATGCTTGGTTACTATATGGGAAGTCCAAATTAATCTATCAGTCACAATAGACACCTTCGGTAGGATAATGGGATGTTTAGTTTCGTAAGATAGTAGTGATTCTTGAAGACGTCCACCTAGACGTAAAATCCCACGCCCATCTAAGAATGGACTCAACGTTAAAATCTTAGAATGTGCGTTTACTTTCCCATCTACCTTTAGAGAAGTTAACTCTTCCTTAAATTTATGGTTTTGCGTAACTTTTATCCAATATTCTTCACTTTCTTGTAATTCTTTTGCTTTTACATCTTTATCAATGAATAATTCTTCAGATTTTCTTAAACGTTTTATAAATCTTAATACGTAAGAAGTTATTCTCAATATTTTCCCAAAATCACTGTAATGTTCTATTGGAAATATTGTTTCTTGATCCTCTTTAATATTTGTCTGCACTACAAAGACTGATACTTGCTCTGATGACACGTAACTATCGTTGAGGGGCCATTCGGTTCTATCTTTCACTAACCAGGTAGGTCCGTATTGCCAAAACTTTGATTCGGTAAGAACCCTTACTTTAAGTCCTCTTGTCAATAAGTCTGCTGGATTTTCGGACCCAGGGCAGTGTCTCCACTCGCCAACGGTCAAATTTTGAATTTCGGTTACACGATGGCAAACGTACGGTTTCCATTTGCTGGCTCTTCCATTTATCCAGTGCAACGTAATTTTGGAGTCTGTCCATAAAATACAAGATTTCACGTCAATATCCAAACTTTTTAAGATGAAGTTCTGCAATCTAACTGCACAAAGAGCTGCTGTCAACTCTAGTCTGGGCAGTGTTAATGTTTTATCACCCCTTTTATTTATCGGAGCCACTCTGCTTTTTGCTACTAAAATGTTGCACATTACTTCATTATTTTCAATAAGCGTTTTAAGATATGCAACTGCTCCATAAGCGAGAGGACTAGCATCGGAAAATACATGAAGTTCGGTGAAAGAGGTCGAAGCTTTCTGACCTACACATCTCGGTATTGTCAGATTCCATAGTTCCTGTATTTCATGAACCCATTCATTCCATTCACTAGCCAGATTTTCCGGTAGCACATCATCCCAGCCGTAGTTTAATTTCCAAACTTTCTGCAGTAGAATTTTTGCTCTTATGACATATGGTGATGCAAAACCCAGTGGGTCATATACCTTGGACACTATCTTCAGCATATTACGTTTCGATGCAGGTCCTTGTCCGCCATCTTGAATACATTTCAATATAGAAGATATATCTATTCCTATTTCATCCAGATCAACGTACCATAGGAGTCCAAGTACCTTTTGTGTCATCTTATTAGCCGTTAGTTCATCTTCAAATTTTTCTCTTAACTTAATATCGTTAGTTGACCATTTCCGTAGGTTCATATTAGCTTTAGACATAATTAGCTTTCCTTGCTCATAAATTTGACAAGCAGAATCTATATTGTCAGCTGCTACGACTAAATCATCGACGTAAAATGATTTCAAGAGAATATCACTCACTTGTTGGAATTCTACAGGTTGTGTCGTTAAATGCTTTCTCAAAGTTGCCGCTAGTAGGAAGGGACTGCATGTAACGCCAAACGTTACTCTCTTCATACGATACTCTGTCAGATTCGGTAATTTTGACGAGTCAGTCACGGGTTTATCATACCACAGTAATCTGTGATAATTGCGTTCGGATTCATTTAATTCAATTTGCAGGAAAGCCTTCTCTATATCAGCTGTAAGGCCTATTTTTCCAATTCTAAAATTGATTAAAATCGTTAGAAGCAATGGTACTAAATTTTCACCGGTGCACAACAAATTATTCAATGACGGAAAACCTGGCATATGTGCAGAGGCGTCATATACACAACGAATACGAGTTGTCTCCTTGTCATCTCTATAGACAGGTCTATGAGGCATATAGTAAGCTTCGCTTTCTTTAGTTAATAAGGGTGCTAGTTCTGAACAGTCATTTTTCAAATATTCTCCTATCACTCGGTCATATTCTAGCAATGTCTCATTTCGGATAAGCTTCTTTGTTAAGGATTTGACTCGGTTCAAAGCACCAATATAATTCGAATCAAGTTTCCTAACTTTTTCGATCCACGGTAAGTTTACTGTATAACGACTATTCTTGAATGTTATATTTTCATTTATAAATTTGTCTGTATTAAATTCTATTTGATCTGCAGGTTGCTTTATTCCGATAGTCTCCAATTCCCAGAATTTCCTTATGTCAAAGTCACTATTATCATATGAATCAACCTGTACATGAAGTATGTTGACCATATTTGCTGCAAATGTATACTCGTTACTACCACCATGAATACTCCAGCCAAATTTCGTATTAGTAGCCGTTAATGACGCTGAGAGCCTTTTCACTTCTCCAGTCACAATCTTCCAATACGCGTCAGCTCCTACTAATATGGATATGCCTGGTAAAACATCCGAATCACTTGAACACGCGTCTGCCAGCTGATGCTGTCTACTGAAATTTTGCAGAAGGGGATCCGACGTAGAAGGTGCTACCAGGGAGTCAAAACAAATTTCCGGTACCTCCACAGCGCTCATTTTGATGGGTTCACTATTGTCATAAAGCCCTTGCAACGTCAAGGCCACTCGTTTGCACAACCGCGCGGGTGCCATTTCATTTTTTCCGAATGTCATAATCGCGATTTTGTGAGTTCCTATCACCGGTAAGTTCAGTTCCCTCGACACGCACTCTTTTATAAAAGTCAGCTGACTGCCTCCGTCTAAGACTAACCGTACAGATACATCATCACCTTTATTCTCGCAGCTTCCCAACACGATACGTGCACAAGCAGTCTGAAGGTAAATATTGCTCACTTTTTCATTAGTAAACAAATTGGTAGACGTAGATGCTGTATATTCGTTAACGTTACTTGGTACATCGTTGGTGCTGCTCTTTGCTTTTATATAGTTCGGGTCACACATAGAAGTAGCATGTTTATTTTTACATCTTGAACATACTATCTTTGTTCGACAGACACGAGAATTATGGTTTGCTTTTGTGCACCTAAAACACCGATTATTCGCTTTTAAAATGTCCTTTTTTCGTTGTAAAGTCAAAGTTCCGTCACAGTTCACACTAGCATGTTCTTTAGATTTACAAAACAGACATTGTTCATTAATGGCTGTAAGTAACCCTGCCGCGGTAAACGAAGAGTCTTTATTACGGTAAAAGTTTGGTTTTTCGCGAGTCTTATTCACTTCCTGTTTCTCAATAGTCTTTTCTCCCGACGCAACACGTGCTCGTTCGACAGAGTCCACTTCTAGTTTTATAAACGATAAAAGTGTAGCAATTTCCCTTTCATATGACACTGTTGCTAATTTTCCGTGATAAATTCCTGACGCATCATAACCTGTTATTGATTGTGCGTCACTTTCATTTTCCTGTCCGTTATTTCTTTTGTTAAAACCATCAATGGCTTGCTGCTTGTTAACCTCAACTCTCATTGAAAATGGCAAAGTTTTCAAAACTATTGACTTAACCATCATTCCATAGTTATTAGCAGGAATTCCTAACGTTTGCAATGACATAATTATTTTTGAGGTGGTATTGTAAAGCTTCCTTAAAGACAAGATATCACATCTACTTTTTATCGGCGTTAACGATAAAAGTTGTTGAATATAAGTATCGACAATCTTGTCTATATTGCTATATTCTTCAATGAGCAGCTGAACGGCATCTTTATAGCTAGTTCTACCAGATGTGAGCCCTTGAATGGTTATCGCTGCATTACCAGATAGAACAGATTTTAAATATGCAAATTTATCAGTCTCACTTAGTGAATCGTTCGTGTGAATAGCTGAACTAAATTGCTCCCAAAATGCCGGCCATTGGTGATAATCACCACTGAATTTTATCAAATCTAATTTTGGTAATCTCACCGACATTTTATTTTGTGAAAATTCCCCGTTGTTAGCCGCTACTGATTGCTGACACCCTGCATTGTCAAGCGCCGTAAACCTCAACGCTGAAGCTCCTAGCTCCGGTTCGTCTTCTACGGCTGCTTGCACTCTCGTTTTGCATTCCGCGATTCGATGCTCCATTCTGGCTATTGCTGTCACTGCGTTATCTTCGTACTCCATTATTTTTTCACACTCGGCCTCGATTTGCTCGTTTTCAATAAATGCAGCCACTTTCTCGTTAGCGATATTCAAACTGTCTCGAGCCGATTTTATTCTAACAACAAGCACAGCAGCTTCTTTACAGTCAAACACTTCCAGTTTTACTAATTCGTTAGCCACATTAATTAGTCTCGTTAATCGTGTGCGACATGTCGTTCTCATAGCTTGTTCCATTTTGATTTTAGTCCGTTACGTTACGTTATTAGTTAAACACTTATTTTCCTTTTATTTAAAGTTCCACAGCTGGAGTCCCGGGTTTCGGCACCAAAATGTTATTTATTATACGTTAATCGTTAAAATAAAGACACCCGGTTCGTATGTACTCTTTACTGTAAGAACATCTAAACATTAATACTTTGTAACAGTAAAAAAAAACTTGACAGTAGTTGTCAAAATTACTTTACTTTTTTTTATCCCAGGTCCAGCGATGACGAAGATTCACGTCCGTTCCAAAATCTACCATCGACCACCTGCACTGCCATCGCTTTTGCAGTATCTGTGCACGCTTTTTTCACAAAATATGTACAGTGTGTTACACTTAAAGTCGGTACACTTCCGTATTTTGGTCGATTTCTAAAATTTTTTTTATATGGTAGTACTCAAAAATGCCTACTTTTTGACATGATGTAATGAACCGGTATTGATGTTAACTTTTGTGTAAGAGTTTCGCTATTTATTTATTTAATTAACTTAATTGGCGAGAGCAATTATTGTCCGCGAGTCGAGCTGAACCGTCCGTTCGCCCCACTCTGTCGAGGGCCGCGCGCATAATCCCACCACGACTCCTGCCTAGTCAAGGGGGGATTGAGACAATAAAACAACCGTGCCTGCACGAAAACAGGCAGTTCAGATCCTGAACTCGAAGAGCTCCAGCTCCAGCCCTGAGGACCACCCCGAGGACCTGACACCGACCCAGAGACCGCCATCCGAACCGAAGGAGTTAGCCACCAGGAGCAGCGACCCGGAATAAGTAAGCAAATTGTATTTCCCGATTTTTACTTGTCCTGTATTGGCATATGTCCTGCCGAGTTTTGAACTCTATTTGAACTAAGTGCTGAACGGTACGGCGGCGGCGTTATCAGGCGGAGGTTGATTGTGCATAACATCGCCTTCGTTTTGAGGAAAGTAGCTAGGGCACATTAACTGAAACCGCTGGTTGACTGTGCATAACATCGCCAGTGGAAGACGTTAGGTGCTGGCCAGACCGTGACAGATAGACCCAGGAAGTTGGCTGTGCATAACACCGCTTTCAGGAGACATCTCTCGTATACAGTACGTGGTGCGGCAACGGCGTTTTCTGGCGGCAGGTTGACTGTGCATAACAGCGCCCTCGTTGTGACGAACGTTGTTGGGTACCTTGACTGAAACTGCTGGTTGACTGTGCATAACATCGCCAGCGGAAGACGTTAAGTGCCAGCCGTACCGACGGATAGACCCAGGGAGTTGGCTGTGCATAACACCGCTTCCAGGAGAAATCTGTCACCGGCCGCGCGTCCGAACGTGCACTCGAATAGACTTTGCCTCCTGTCAACCAAACTATTCCTGTTCCTGATTACCGTTTGCTTATTTATGCTTCGCTTCTCCTTGGCTGGTCTCCGCATAATTTTCCGTTGCTTTGCTAAAAACCGCCGACGATATTTATTTGTAGCATTAGAGTAGCCCGTAATCTATTTTTCTTTGTTTCAGAGCCATTTGGAAGCGGCATATTTGTTGATTATTATTTACTACTCTGATTTACTAACTCTCTTTTCCTTTCTAGCACCGACCGCAACTAAAACCGATTATTTATTTATGGCATACCGTTTTCTTAAAGTATTAGATTGTTTATTGTAAAAATAAAATAACCGCCTAATACTGCATTTGCCTACCGTACCGATTTTTGTATCCTGACCACCGATATTTTACTATGTTCTAATTTGGTATTTATTTATAGCTCCGGAAAATCGAATAAGCATTTTTAATCCCGTGATAAATAATTGCTCTAACCAATTTTATTTTATTCACACCGTTTGTAAATTATTTTTTATATTTCTGATTTTAGTTGTTTATAAAAATTGTAATTAGCATCTGTTTTACTTTTGATTGTTTCAACTGCCTTGTTAATATAGAATAAATCTAGTACATATATTTCCAGTTGTCTTCATTCTTAACACCGATAAGATTGATAAATTCCGCTCAGTAAAAAGTCGCACTATCTTTTTGTGACCTACACTGATAAGTCCGTTTATTTTAAAAGGAAAATAACACTACACACAGAGAATTACGTTGATTAAAAGTAAGAGAAATATAACAGACCCCTGGAATTAAACTTTCTTCACTGCAGCTATCCCGAGTACTTACTCTAAACCGAGGGTAGGTTTCACGTGGAGTTTCCCCCACGTAAAAGATTGGGAAACTGGCGCCCGAGACAAAACCGAATAAAAAGATTGTAATCCGGAGTACGTTCCTGTGACGTCACTCATCACCGCCGGCTGCCAACCACCGCCGCCGAGAAACTAGTAGTCGAGGGTCGTCACACAATTAGGCGTCCAAACAGGGACGTCAATAAATTATAATTCGAAATTGCGAATTAAGATTCAGTTTAGAGTTGATAGTATACCGGGGGCGGCTACAAGTAACGTCTGAACCGAACCGTCACCACCGCAAAATCAAAAACAAGTAAATAAAAGGGTGTTACAAAAATTTGGCGACCGAGTAAAGTACGTTACAATTATATTTTTTGACATGTGATCTTTCTACGGCCCACTTTCATTAAGAAAAGACCCTCAAAAATTAAAAACATGTTTTTTTTAGAAATAAATGGATAGCATTTTCCATTTGATCACACCTCAAAACCTTAAATACAAAGTTTCATTATTATAGCTTTTACAGGGTGTTCACAAAATAGGTGCAAACTTCAAAAAATTTCATCAAAATATTTTCAAAGATTTTTTTTAAATTTTATTAACCGAAGGTACATCCATGCAGTTTCATTAATTCCACTCATATAGTGTGCTCACAATAAGGTATATTTTCTTATTATACTAGAAGTGAGTTTCACAACGAAATAAAATTTAAATATTACTGTTTTCTATTAGTCTACCAACATTTGGTATGCACTATTCAATTCGTCTCCTCTTATTTCTAATAACTCTCCTCAACTGATATGGTGTTATTTGTCAGCATGCTTGTCTAATTCTATTACATAAATTTTCTCTGTTATGGTTGTTTGATACAATTTATTTTTCACAGTTCCCCATAAAAAGAAATTAAAAGGCGTCAAGTCTGGAGCTCTTGACGGCCACTCAAATAACGGACTTTTGCGACCTATCCACTGTCTCGGGAAATTGTCGTTCAATGACTTACTATTATCGCATGATGAATACGTGCTCCATCTAGTTGAAGGTAGAGGTTCTGTCTTACATGAAAAGGAAGTGCATGTACTGAATCCTAGAAATCATTATTTAAAAAATTCAATAAATCTCTGAGTATAGATTAATGTTAACAAACAAGGGCCCGATTATTCGATAACATAAAATCCCACATTTTTTTTTAATTAAGATTTATGTAATAGAATTAGACAAGCATGTCGGCAAATAACACCACATTAGTTGTGGAGACTTATTAGAAATAAGAGGAGACGAATTAAACAGTGCAAACCAAATGATGATGAGCAAATAGTAATATTTAAATATTATTTCGTTGTGAAACTCATTTCTGGCATAATAAAAGAAATATATAACTTGGCTGTCTTATTGTGAGCATCCTGTATGAATAAAATCAATGAAACTGCATGGATATACCTTCGGTTAATAAAATTATTAAAAAATACCTTGAAAATATTTTCCACTGTTAATACAGGAAACTCTGCAATGAGGTGAAATTTGCACCTATTTTGTGAACACCCTGTAAAAGCTATAATAATAAAACTTTGTATTTAGAGATTTGAGGTGTGATCAAGTCGAAAATGCTATCCATTTCTTTCTTACAAAAATGCCTAATATGTTTTTTAATTTTTGAGGGTATTTTCTTACTAATAGTAGGCTGTAGAAAAGATCACACAAAAAATATAATAGCAAAGAGTAGGATTTTTTGAGTACTATCACATAAAAAAAAAAGAATTTTGGAAATCGACCAACGCCGTCCTAAATACGAAGGTGCTCCTTAAGTGAAACATACTGTATATAGAAGGCATAAGTGGTATTAATTCAGAGCGCCACAAAAGAGTATTTCCTACAAAGACAAAAGATTTTAAATCTTATAGGTAGTTGAACTATTTAAGTTTTACTGAATAACAATAAATCTTTTATGACACCTTGTTACTTTCAAGGGCAAAGGTCGAATGATGGACAAAAATCAACAAAAAAACAGACTGTCATTTTTAAATCTACTTTTTTCTCCCCAAAATAACTGACACTTTATTTGATTAAAATGAAATACACGTACCTAATGGTTGAAGTTAAATAAAGATTGTATAAGTTATTTTTAATTTTAATTTTAAATGTGAAATTAATGGCCGAGCTTATGTTGAAATTTCATGTCATACTAACCATCATTTTGAATAATCTTATTTTGTCACCTTTTGGCAATATAAATATTAGCAATACCTAAGTTGGCCGTTCTACTTTCCAATAATTTATATTATATTTGTTATTTCAAAGTCAAGAGAAGGGATAACGATATTGAGTTTTTTTTTTATTAAGCAACTAACATTGTCACTTACCGAAAGATTTGCTATTTTGTCTTTTGTACATCTCAAGACATGATTTTCGATGGACCATTCGATGTGTGATGGCTTGATATCTCTTCCGGAATTCTTGTTCAGACTCTGTACTCGAAATCGATCCTCTTCTTACCGTTTCTGTTTCTGAAATGAAACAAATCTAAGGGGAGATACAACTAAAACCAAGGTGTTACAAATAAAAATTGTAGTGCAGTAAACTATTTATGAAAATTTCTCAAACAAAATTTACTTAGATTCTAAAGGTTTTATATTAAATAAAAGGGAATATATACCAGTGAATACCATTACTTCTTCTTTTCGTTATGAAATGAATTTTCATATGATACATCTGTATTTTTGACTGTTTCAATTACGAAACTTTCATTGTATTTAAAAAAAAAGATTATAATATTGTAATGAATAAATCATACCTGTGCCCCAAAGTGATAAATTATAAAATATTTATATTTAC